AGGGTACTGCAGTGCTGTGTGTGTCAACTCTCTTTTGGAGAGAAGAGAGAGCTCGAAAGTATTAATGATGGTTTTGATACTGAGGAAAATGAGTATTCAAACAGTTTCAAATATTCAGAATCAACATGTAACATATATTTTGATTTATACGTAGAGATGGTGGACCGTCTTAACTTTTGCTGCTGGACAATGCAACATCATCCAGTAAGACACTGTGATCTGCAAACTAATACATGTAAGTGTAAATTCCTGGTGAAGTACTTGGTCGCGTGACATTCTACTGTTAATTAGGCAATCCTTGTGTTGTGATAACTTTTTGAAGTTAGAAAATCCTTCCTCATAGTGCTTTTAACTGTGGTGCACTCTTTTAGTCCTTTTAAACGAATGGAATAATTCCTCAGAGCATCCCCACAGGGCTGTTTTCAGTCTGAAAGCCCAGTGAGAGAGTGCTTTACCTCCATCATCAAAACACCAAATTAGGGAAAATGTTTTGGAACAATCATGTTCATCCCTTCAAACTCATAAATTTGAAGAATTTGAGACAAGAAGCATTTCAGCTGTTCTGGAGGCTTATGGTGGCCCAACACCTCACTGAAACATTTAATGCTTGTTTTTGTTCTTAATTTATCTCCCATCTGCAGCCACTGTTATGATGTAAAATGTAATTTCAGTTTACAGATTGTGAAACAAGTATTGAACACTTCCAAAATGAAATCATCCAGGTGCTGCAGTGTTGATGCTTGGTTGCCATGATAACACTGGCCATAGAAGCATCTTGTTTTCTTCCCTCATCATCATCTGTCCTTGTACCTCCCACTCTATTTCCTTGAGACCCAGTTCAGCAGAGGTTAATGCCGTTAGCCATGCACAGCTGTGAGAGGCCCCAGTCTCGTCGTTGCTAGATGAGCGCTGCTCAGTTCAGAGGCCTGATGACTGGGAAGTCTGGGAATCTGTTGGATGCTGCACTGAAGTCTGACTTATGATGATTGGAGTTAATACCGTGGCGAGACAATTGGCCCACCTGCTAGCATCTCACTGCCGTCGCCCACTGGGTGAGGAGTGTGATCTTCCCTCCACCAGCCCGGCTACACGGCTCGATGCACATGAAGAATTCAACATGGCCTTCTGATGTCGGCCTAATGTCCCTGAAAGCGGAATTTGTGGCCTTGAATACATAGTTCGCCATGGAATTAGATACATTTATAGTCTCACTCAACTCATGTAATGCGGGGCAGCCAGTAGGGCAATATAAATACATACCAGGAAATAACTGTCAACCATCAGATTGAGCTTTGAGAAGCAATTGGCTGAAATAACCCTCACTGCAGAAAATTTCTCATTATCTATACATACACATGCACAAAACACAACATGACAAATATTACAGTGAATTATCTTTGAAATGAGGCGCACATGAATAGTTGAGCGGGCCAGTAGACAGGCTTTAGTGCAGGCAATTACCAAATCCGTTCTAAATTTTAACAGACTTTATTCTTTTCATCAACATCATTAAAACCCTCATTTACAATGGACAGCAGGAAAGGATGATCTCTAATGCCATTAGTGAAGGCAACAGCTTCACTTTTGATAGCTCCTGCTTTGAAAAATGGACAGAATCCCACTCTAATGGGGTGCTGGTATATTCATCAACAGGGATTTTTTTCCACATACTCTAATGTACAAAGCTGCTGTTGTCACATTTAACGATTGATCTCTGCACAGTTTTTTCCAAACGGATTATTTGATGAGAGATTCAGCTGAGGAACTCATACTTATTTTATGTTCCAGGACAGTTCTGTGCTACTGAGCTTGAAAAAAAGAAGTATTATACCCAAAGTCAGACAGAGAGTCAGAACACTAAGCCTGTAACTAGGTTTGGGATGATATGCTATTTTATCGTGGATTGCAGTAAAAACACAAAGTAAAGTTGACTGAGGTAAATTTCTGTAATTGGGACAATTGTGAACATTGTGTCATGCAGCATCCAAAGAGTCAGGGCTCAACGTTAACACTTCCCATTACCACAAGTAAACTGAAATGCATTATGCCCTTGCCCAATCAGGCAACTGAAAAATAACTGTGAAGTCTAATGTAACATTATCAGAAAAAAAACTGTGACTGCATCGCTAAAGTGGAGCTTTTCCAGCTGAGCTCCGTTAGTCTGTCTCACCACTAAGCATTAAACAGGACTAATGAGAGAAATCTGACATACTGGACACTATAGAAGTTAACTCAGGCGTCAAAGATGTAATTTACAACACAGCGTTACTAATGCTAAATATCTCTGGAACGCTGGGTGTGAGAAGCTTTTTTTTATGCCCAGAAGTTAAGCATCTTGCTGTTCCAACAGGTCTTTTTGCAACAAAAATTAAATCTGTAATGATAAATCTGTCATTGGGTGTTTTCTGTGACAATTATTGTGTATTTTTTGTTGTTGTTTGTAAGCATATTTTGCTAATTATTGGGATAATATAATAAATTGCAATTATATTGTCAGTGAAAATCGCAACATTAAATTTGCATATTTTCCCTTGCCTACCTGTAACATTATTAAAATAAGTAGAATGACTTAGTTTTGTATTGATTTTGTCAGTTCTGAACCAGAAAATGCAGTGTTATGAGAAGTACATCCCTTGGGTGCTTATTCACCTTTACTCTCTGTGAATCAGCACCACAGTTGAAATGTTGTTAATGCACATTTGATATTTAGGTCTTTGATTGTTGCCTGTAGGAGAGAGTTCTGCTGATGTTGACTGGTTGTTGCTTAGCCACAGGCAAAACATGATGATACATGATGTCGAGACCCACCTAATCAAAAAAAATCAGTTGAGAACTTATATCTTTCAAATCTGTAAACTGTAGAGCTTTAGAGATTCGGTAGTTTTATTAGAAAATGCACACACATTCACATCTCGTGCTTCTTCTTGAGAAATATATAAAGATGATGCAAAAAGAGAGTCTTTAAAGTAAATCTCACTCGTGTTCACATGATAATCCTTTTGGCTTTTCGAGGGGAAATTGTCATTCAGCAAAGGCAACAACTGTTTTCTCTTAGATCAATTAGATCAACACTGGCCAGCCAGAAGAAGGGGATGTGCGCTGGGCTGCACACACCCACACACACACGCATGCACACACACCTTGATTGAAGCATAATTGTCAATTAGATATTGAACTTGACAAATTTCTCACCCTCTGCACAAAGAATAGCACACACTCATATGAGCACATGCACACACACATATCAACTTTTACTTCTGCCAGACCATTAAACAAGAGAGCAGCTCCTTTGGCTCCTTAATGGAAATTGCCATTTCAAAGCCTTCAGAGGGAGATGTTAACCTTGCGCGCTACTTGTGGCATTAAAAATGGATCAAAGCAGTTGAGCTTTGATGTCGACGGAAGATCTTATTTGGGTCGTGGAGGCAGAGCAGAGTGCCAGGGCTGACTCCCCAGCACCCTCTGCTGGGAGAATTTGGCACCTCTCACTGTGATGTCGTGGTGGTATACACCTCTGAGTAATTGTTTTAACCCCTTGCTGCGTCCACAATTCCCACTTGTTGAGACAATAAGCATGATGATAAAGTCACAGTTACAGATAAAATTGAAAAGGGAGACACAAGAGAAGCAGCAAATGAGACAGCAGCTGTTTCCTTTTTCTTTTCAGTCAGTCCATCAATCAGGTTTTGTTATGCAATGTGAGAGCTGATGTGGACTGTCTGGGGTATAGTGTCTGGGAAGGGCACAAAGAGGGGAGGCACCTCTGGGTGGGTGGTGTTGCTGATGATTGGGGGGGGGGGTGAACTCTTGACCCTCAGCAGGCAGTCTAAAAATCTGGCTCCCCTCGTATAAGAGTCTCCCCCACAGAGCTCAGCTTAGACCTGGGAATGAACACCCTGTCCAAAGAGATAAATGACTTTGGGGGAGAAGCAAGATCACCTACCTGTGTGTGTGAGAGAGAGAAGAAGAAGAGAGAGTGCACTGTAATATGAGTGCGTGTCCAAGTTGTGTGAGCTTGTAGGCTGCAAACTGATAGAGACAGAAAGACAGAAGGAGCCATTTTGCTGTGTGTATGTGTTTCTATCAGACAGAAAAGGCAATTGTGTGTGCATTCATGCAATTCCTCTGTGGATGCAGACACTCTGTGCATCACAGCCAGTGTGTATGCTCGTGCGCACCCTTGTGTAAAGCATGGAGTGGAAGAGGGGGTTGAACGGTAGAGATGGAGACACAGATAGAGAGAGTGAAAAAAAACATAAATAATTGATGATAGATACCGCCTTGCATCTGGCGCCTGCTGCCGTTGAGTTTGTTCAAAGTAGATATTGATGCAGGGTCTTGCTGAAACACAGTGTAACCACCCTCTATTCTGACCTCATTATCACATTAGAAGTGTAGCAATGCATTACTTTTAAAAGGGCAAAATATTAACATGCTGTGACATAAATGTAAATGTGGATTGTTAATTAATTGAATATTGGCTTGTTATGTGGAGTTTCTCAGACTTGTTTCTGCACTGATGGCACATATCGGTCAAAAACAAGTGGGCTGGGCTGTTTGGAGAGACTCAATATGTGATTGACTTTAACGTATTTAAGTTTTCCTCTCTCCCTCCCCTTGCAGGCCTATTTTCTCTGTTTGCCTCATTAAATCTTTGTGGAAATTCTCCAGCTCTTGTGGAAGAGACTTTCTTTTGATTAGGCTATAAACAAATGGAGGAGTTGGTTGACATCTCCCAAGACCATAGCCCTCTTTTGTTTTGCTGCTGCACTGTTGCTGCCCCCCTCCCCACGCTGACAGGACTCGAGTACTATTCCCCAAAGCCTTTATTCTCGCTCGTTTTCTTTTTTTCCCCATTCCCTCACCCAACTCCAACCCCTCCTCCCCCCTGCCTTTGTTAAAGACAGCCTCTCAACCACTCCCCCCACCTCTCTCTCTCTCTCTCTCTCTCTCTCTCTCTCTCTCTCTCCCTTGCACTGTCTCTCTTGCTCTCTCATTATGCGCTCATCCGTTCCGCTGGCTGAGGGCTGAGAGAAGAGCGCTCGGGAGGAGAGTGTTTGGGAAAGCAGCGACACGCCGCTGCTGTTTTCTCCAAAAGAAAAAAAAAAAGGTGGACCAAAGTGTCAGGAGCTGCTATTCCTTATGCCAGCACTCCTCCTCACTCCCGTTTACTACCCCTCTCTCTCTCTCTGTATCGCCGTGTCTGTCTGCTGACTTCTCATTGACTCACTCCTCTCTGCTTCAGCTGGCTGACTGAGTGCGCTGACACTGGGACCACTACCTGCTGCCTGGGGATTAAGCGCGCTATGAATACCCGGAGCCTAATTTGTTGTTTTGGCTGCCAGTGAATGTTGGATCCCCACAGAGGAGAAGCTGGTGCATAAATCCTTGCGGCCAGGACACTGGGATCGCTTCTGGACTGAGACAACCCAGTGAAAAAGGGACTGGATGCTTGAGGAAGCATATGAAAGAGAGGCGACGAATCAGAGAAAGAAAGAAAAGGATTGGACAAGTTCTTTACTGAAAGGCAGAAATAGAAGAAGCTAAATCAACCTCAGTCTTACGAGGATCAGGGTGCAATGAGAACCTTTCCCTCTCATTATCTGGTTGGGATTCTCAGTCAGGGTGCTGACACAAGGAAAGAAAGCCCAACAAATCTCTGCCTCAAGCTTCTTGGTTGATTTCTGATCACACACACGTTTTTCTCCTTTTCTTTCCACGAGTACATTCATTTAGAGCATCTCTGTGTTTTGCTGCTCATCCGTAGCTGGTTGGGGGAGAGGACGGCTCTGCACCGACAGGTCGAGCGGGGATTGGGATCGTTCTCCTCTCCAACTTTTTTCCCCCCTCTCCACTACTTCTTCTGTCCTGCTTTCAGCCCCAGCGTACCAGCGGGGTGGGGGGCAGCTCCTCACCCACTCCATGAGACCGGCCGGGAATAAAGGTTATTGAACCGAGGAGTGGCAGGCACGCAGGAGAGAAGGGGAGGAAAAACAAACCATCTCCGCAAACCCCGGGAGCATATGGCTTAGCGAGAGGAAGCCAGCTGCTTTCCAGCCGTCCTACTAATCACGCCACAGCAGATACAAGTTGCTCTGGTGACAGTGTCAGGTTTGGACAGATCTAATGTGTCATAGTCGCATAACTCTTCACCGTGACAAACGCTCCCAGACCATCAGCCAAAGAAGCCAGTCTCCAGTGGATACAAGGAAGCAGTTGTTGAGTTAAAGACACGCTGGGCAAAGCATTGCTCAGGAGAGCTGCTAACCTTTGTTACCCCAACAGGCAACAGCCTCAGGGAGGCTAAAAAAGATGCTTCTCTGTCGCCTCTTCGGGAAATACTTATGACACATGTTGTTGGTGAGCACCAGACCTTGGCTTGGTGTGTAAAGGCTTTTGACAAGGAAAGAAGGGGGAGTGCTCTCTGAGCCTGCATCCCCAGACCTCTTTCGCATCCATCTAATTATCCGTAAGGGTCACTGGGAGCAGAGGAGAGGATTCCATTTGTGGATTTACTTGCCTGGAAGTTTTCCGTGTGGATATTTGACAATTCCAAACACCCACATTCAATCACACAGATTTCTGGCTTAGGTGCATCTCACACACATACATGCCAAAAGCGCACTGACGCACATTTACAAACACATTATCACCACCCACTTAAATCCACACACATGTTTGCACTGTAAGTATAAACCACTTCACAACACACACACATAGTCACAGATTGAAAGCCCATTAGTTTGTCCTTTTCCTAGCGGGTACAGCAGAATGGAGGTCGTGTGGACAGGTGGGGGGCTGTAGGAGTCCCTGTCCCCCTGTCTGTCCTCTTTCCCCAAATGGATGTTATTATCTCTAAAAATGTGTTGCTTGGAAACCACTGAAAGCTTGCTGCTGCGATTCTCTGACAGAAACAGTCACCGGGTCCTCGCCACGGTGCTCAGCTGGAACCGCAGCTGAAACACCGGCCATTACACGTCTTTTTTTTTTTGTTGCTTTTTTAATTTTACATTCATCTTCATCCTCTGCCCTTACCCCACCGCCATCATTTTTTCCAACGGGTCTTTGGGCACCCCTCGTCGCCCTCCTCGGCCCGTCATCTCCTCCACCTTGGAGGGGAGGGGGTCATTGGAGTGGAGCATGAGCGGGTGCCACTATCCCTCACCGCCGCCACAAGAGCATGACCGCAGGTACCAGCACAAGGTGTCCCTGGTGGTGCGCTACTTCATGATCCCCTGCAACATCTGTCTGATCCTGCTGGCCACATCTACACTGGGCTTCGCTGTGCTCCTGTTCCTCAACAACTGTACGTTTGTTCAACAGAAACACACAATTTTACTGTCATAGCACCTAAGTGTATGGGTCACTGCTCGGCAATAGAATGCTTGGCGTAAACCCGTAATTCAAAGAATTGCTGCAGAGACAGAATTTAGCTGGAAGTATTTGATTTTGCATTGCATTCTGCAGTTTTTGCACCGAATATTAAAGCAACCCCCCCCCCCCAAAAAAAAAAGAATAAAAAAAATGACTGCCCAGTCAACAGAATAAAATGTTGGCATTGTACATTTCTGTAAGCCACGGACATTTGTAGGTTTCATAAGTATGATGTAGATCAGATTACATGTATATTAGCCTATATTAGCTCACATCAGGAGGAGGACAGGATGGTGGATGGTCGACACCTAGGCGAGACATCAGTCAAGCTGAAGATTACTGTTCAAGACCAATAGAAGCAGGTATTTTTGAACATGATTGGACATATCCAGCCCTGTTTATAGTGACAAAAATTTATTTATTTATTTTTTTTACAGGAGTTGAGGACATATTCACTTGTATTTGGCATGACTAAATCACGTATTTTGAGCCAAAATATGACCGTATGACCCTAATCCTAATCAAGTGATCTTTGTGACTAAACCTAACCACATGTTAACCACAGAGTTGTCACAACATGAAATTAAAATGTAAATAAGTGTCAAGTTTCAATCTATTTGCTACATATGAAATGTACAAATGTAACTTATCCGTGGTTTGCAGAAATGTACAATGCTAACATTCATTCTGGCAACTGGGTTGAAATCGAGCTCACTTTGCCTTTCATGACAGCCTTATCTGCACTTGAACTAGGGACATCAGGACATCTAAAGTCGCAGCCCCCCTTTGCTTGATTCTATGTCTGCAGGCTTGAAACTGCTTCATATCTCCACTCCAAAGACTTGGTATTTACTTTGAACTGCGGGATGAAGTATTAAATGGCGACTAAATGCCTTTTGGAGGATGAAAACATGTCTTTTGGCCTGGAAAGCCTCAACCTCTCCTGTCGTCTGCCTCCAGTGCATTATTCTTGTCCCACTGTATATTGAAAGTACAGCAGCTCATTAAGAGCATGATGTTTGTGTGGCTCAGTTCCTGGTGGCAGTTTTGATGGTGACTATCACAGCATATTATTGGGTCAAAGAGTTTTCAGAAAAGAGAGGTAATTGCTTTAATTCATCTTCTGTTAAAGCCCATGCTGGGTGTAATTTGAAATGTTTCTCGTGCCAGTGCAGTATATGAGTTTTTATACAAAAACAATTTTCTTTAAAATGGTGCTCAAAAATGATTAAAATCTGATACTCAGCACTACCCATAGCAGGTTTAACCTTAAAGGTACAGTAGGTAACTTTTTAGCAAATATGGCCAAATGTTTTTTTTTTTTATTACTGTCACTGTTACCTGACAGTAGTGCATGAGGCACACAGTCTGTGGAAAAAAATCATGTTCCTCTGCCCCCTCATAGTGCCCCTAATGGCATTTGCTAGAATCACCAAAACAACCAATCGGAGCTGAGGAGTCTCACCTGTCAGTCATGTCAATCACTGCTTGTGAATTGCAGCATTGTCTATTTCTCACCTCAAATATTTTCAGAAATATAATTCAGGGTACTGTTTAGATGAACTTGAAAAAGTTTGCTCCAGCTGGTCAGCAGTGCTTTGTTTCAGCGTGACTGTTTTCAATATGACAGCTAGAGCACCAACTTTCTCAATTTACAGCTAAACAGTACACTAAAATATGTTCAGTAACAGTACAGTAACAGATTCATAGTTGATAAGTGCTGCCAAGTTTGACAGTTTGGCCACAGTTTACGAGCAGTGATTGACATCTTCTCTCTCTGAAAATGACCTGTGATTGGCCAGTCTCGCATCACTGGCTAGACTTTCCAAAGCCTGAAAACAGTCTAGTGTTCTGTCAGACCACTTGAATCACAATATCATCAAAATTTAGTGTGGGATTTTTGCCCATTACACCAATATTAAACTGCCTACCCCAACTTTGAAGGGCCAGTAGTTTGCCTTCACTACATGACTTAATAAATTCACCTGAGCATACGCTACCTTTTTTCTACATCAACAGCTCAACTTCTGCTGTTGCTACAATTGGCCTGCCTGTGTTAACACTGACTTATTAATTCTCCTCACTCCCTCACAGACTTACACAAGTCTGAGTGCCTTGCCAGTTTCGACTGTGTTAAAGGTGAGAGTCTTCCCAACTCTCCAAAGTGAGCTATTATTTATGCAAGACCTGTGCCACATAATCATGTAATCATCAAGTAAATAAGTGAAATAAGCACAGTCATTTTCAGGCCTCCAAATTAGGGTTGAAGTGCTATTTGAGCAACACTTTAAAGGGAGAAGCTTGTTAATACACTTTGTCCATGATTGTTGTTCCATGTCAGCCCCTTTTTCTCTGACTTTCTGTGAGTCTGTTATCACACTGTTGACTTTTCAGCCATGTACAAGGCAGAGTCCGTTTAGCCAGATGCACCTCTTTGCATTAGTCTTCTTTTCTAGGTTTGTGTCTTTTCTATCATCTTTGTCAGGCTTTTCCTCCTCAGTCTAACTGGTGGATGTGGGTGACCAGGATCAGAATGGTTCATTTGTAACCATGCCGTATTACCAAATCAATTTCAGCCAGACAGATTCTATTAGATTTAATACAGACTCAGTTAAAGCGGGCCAATCTTCACCTCTCACATGACCGAGTGAAAAGAAATGTGGGCTGGAGAAAAACTGATGAAGTAAAAGGGGCTCTATTATGCTGCTGAGAGCCCTCACCATGTGGCCACAAGGACAGCTGGATAGGATGGTGATAGTGCTGGCAGCGGTGACGTGTGTGTACGGGTGTGTGCGGTGGGAGGAGGGGTGTTAGAGGAGCCGTGCAACCTCGGATTCACTATTTCTGTTGTCGCCATATGGGGTGAAGCATGTCCACACACACACACACACACACACACACACACACAGTTTTTACCCCCCCCCCAAAACCTCACTGCCTGCCAACAGAGCCCACACACAGACACACTCAGTTTATCATTCTGCATGACTATACATCAACCACACCAATAGGGAAGATGACACACGTTCAGTGATACATACACACACCCTTCTCCCTGCACATGGCTAAATGTCACAGTCAGACACATATTGATTTGCTGAAGATATAGGGTGAATGATGGCCATGCTCTGACATTCAAACAGGCACGGGAACTCACGCAGGCTCTGCAAGGTGCAAAGGGAGATGGGGAAGGCTGATATGTTTATGGAAAGACCTTATCTTGTCCTTTCATTATGGAAATGTGACGAAATCGTTTAGCTTCGCCCCGGCACTCTGTACACCACCTTCTCTGTCAGGCTCTTTCTGATTCGCCTCGTGCGACAACACGTCTGCGTGTGTTTGTTTGTGCATGCTTCCAAGACAGAAGTGCAGCCCGTGCGGATGTCTGTTTTTGTGTGCGCTCCCTCACACTCTCAGCAGAACTCCTGCATTTTCCTCATTCCAATTTCTGTTTCACTCGTTTTATATGTTTTCTTGAAATCCCCCCCAGATGGAAATCAGTTACTGTCATGACTGACTGGGAAACAGCTTCAGCCGACACTTCATTATTCACCTCTAGCACTAGCCTCGCCTCTCCTCTCCCCTCTCCTCATTTTTTCTCTCACACACACACCTTCTCTCCCCCCCTACTCCAAAGCCCCGGCTGTTGACAAGCAAATTTAACTGAGCCTAAATTTAAAACTCAGCTGTGTCTTGGGACGCCGACGGGTATCGCACAAGCCCTGAGAAAGGCTCTGCCGTAGTGGTTGACGGAGCCCCGGAAAAATGTGTTAGCGGGGTAATTGATGTGATGTGTTTTATCTTCCTCATTATCCCTCGCACTGTAGAGACATCGGAGAGATGGCTGGGTGGCTGCACATCTTTTCTGAGTGTGTGTATGTGTGTTGGTGTGTACACTCGGCGCAGGCAGCTCTGACAACTCACCGGAGCTCTGCTTAGTGAGTCAGACAGCCGAGCTGACTGTGAGAGTGCAGATGGTGGTTTGGTTGTGCTCGGTACTCTAGTGCCCTAGTATACTGTGACCAATGTATCGTGATGGCCTTCGAAGAACACATCATATTTGTAGGTGGCTTCCAGTTGGTGAAGCTCTGTGGTAAATGATGACACCAAAACCGTTTCTGTAGATCAGTACTTGTGCTTCTTGAGGGTGATTTTATGGTGATTTGTGTATGTGTGTGTGTGTAAGAAATAGTCAGTAGCTGGAGCTGGATTTATTTTCTTTTTACATGATGTCCGTGAGCTTAATTTACTTATAGCTTTGTATCATTCAGTGCCAAAACTCTATGGTATCTATATACACTTTGCATAATTGCTAAGCTAACCAAAAGGCAGATAACGCACTTGAAATGATTAGTTGCTTAATGAACTAGGCAGTCAACAAAAAAAATTAATCTACCACGACTGTAATAGGCGATCAGTTGTTTAGCAAGCAAAAATGCCAAACATTTTCTGGTTCCAGCTTTTTAAATGTGGGGATATTCTGTTTTCTCATCTCTGTTTCTTTATATTGTAAATTAAATATGTTTTGGTTTGTTTGTTGGACAATATAAGCAATTTGAACACACCCCCTGAGGCTCTGGGAAATTGCTTTTTCACAATTTTTCAGCATTTTATAGCCTGAACAATCAGTGGTATAATCGAAAAATAATCATCAGATTAATCGACGATAAAAATACAGCTAGTTGCAGCCATAATTCTATTTGTGCTTGTTTTTTGTTGCCACTAACAATATCCTCCTATTTCCTTTCTAGACAATGTGAAAGCAAACTAGGCCTACATGTTCTCCTTGTTGTTGATCCACTTACATTGCTTGGTCAGGATTGTCCTCATTTTCAGGCTAAAGGATTACTTCAACCATTAGATGGCCATTTACATATCAGTTAGTTGTGCTGTGTTACCTTGAATTCATGAAGCAAACTTTGTTTATCTCACATGCCTCCATGCAAAACTGCAAACATATTGATGTACTGATTGATTGGGGACCACGTGTAACAACTGCAAAACTATATCAAAGCATCTGTTTACAAACTCTCACACAACTCTCACAGTATAAGCCAAGTCTTATTTATCCAGTTTATTTATCCAACTGAAAGTGAAACCTATCGATGTGTACATATATTAAAGGTCATATAGGGTTTTTCAGACAAAAGGCATGTGTTTGGGAAGCACTGAACACACTGAATAAAATAGACTTGGATTATACTGCAGGAATTGTGTGATGTTATTTTATAGTTTTGCTGTTGTGAAATGTGGTCCCTAATCAATCAATAAATAAGTATATGTTCACTGTTTTCTGTGGATGCAGCTTTCCTCAAGAATTCAAGGTAACAGCCTGACCCACAGATGCACAAATGGTTATTTTTTGGGTGAAGTATTCCTTTAAGGTGTCAAATCTGCAAACGACTCAGGTTTCATGAGATCTTTTTTCCCCTGAGTGTTACTCCATACTCAGTCATTTGACACTGCAGGCCTTGTTTTATGGTTCCCACAAAGCCTTATGTCATCGTCTGCTGGGTGTTGACCAGGAGAGTAGTATGATGTCATTTGATATACAGGAGGAAAAACAATCTGATTTATTCTGCATATGGTTTCACTGCTGCACTGAATGTTATCACTGCTGTGGAACTTCAAATCTTATCTCACACCTTTCAAACCAAAACAAAACAGATCCCTTCCCATGTGTTTTTCAATTCTCATGTTATCGGAAAGTCATGCGGTGTGGTTTTGGGATGAGACAACCATAGAAACAATGGTGATACTGCTATCGCTGGAATGTACTCCTGTCGATTAGCTCAGCTGGGTTCCCTGCAGGGCCCAGTCACAGCATTAGAATGTGTTAGATAGAAAAGCCAAGCCTGAAGTCAGAATGTGTCTCTCTTTTTTTTGGTAGCAACTCAATTACTTGGCCTGCACCCTTGGGAAGTCTGTGAATCTCCCCCAAAACTAAAAACCTATTTCTCTCTCTTTCTCTTTTATCTCTTTCAGACAAACCTCCTCACTTCACACCGGCCCAGCCTCCTGATGGTAAGTCCTCTGTGGTTTCTCTCCACTCGCCTTCGCTGACCGCTGGTGTTTTGGGAGGGGGGGTGTACCTGCAAATAATGACCTCAGACAGCGGATCCCTGCCTTTGAAGTGGGCAGCCGTCTGTGCGCCGTGCCGGATTTGGCCGCTCCGCTTTTTGTTTCTACACAGTTGGTATGGTGGGCACGTGGCCAGGTCTGCTCGGGGCTTTGATGTGAGAAGGATCTTTTGATGACTTGATTTGATCAGCTCCGCACGGCTAGTTGGGCTGATGTTCAATACCTGTTACCACAGCAGCATCCACATCCTTCTGATAGGGTCTAATGGGATAATACCCCCCCCCCCCCCCCCCTTTCCCTTGGTATTGTACATTACCTGAGGCTGCTGGGGGTTTGTAGGGACAGGAGCGCAGTGCAGCGCCTTCACCTCACCTTGTTAACCACATGCTCTTGCCCCATCCCACACATATAAATCTTTGCAATGGGTGCTGCATTGTTTTAGTTGTTTTCAGGCCCAGTAACATGAGCTTTTAATTAAAAAAGCAACAATTTATTTCCAAAACAGTGCATCTCGGCAAGCTTTAATTGGAGGAAAACAGCTGGTTTTCAAGCTGGTATCATGAATATTTATCAGAAGCAGCGCAGTGAGACAGTGTTTGATAGACTTTGGTGTTGTATTTTCTTTTTACTGCACTGACAGACAGACAGGGATGGACTCCTACTAGTTCTGAAGGTGTTGTATCATCCTGCTTGTGTACAGGCTACAAAGCCAGAGGTTTGGAGGGAGAAAACATGAGGAGAAAATGTTTCTAATGATCCCAGCCGGCCAGCTGATGTCAGGGACAAAAGGCCACAGTAGGGGCTTTCTGAATCTGTTTCTGGTAATTGCTCAATCACTCGCCCCATAGGCCTGCTTGTTTGGAAAAAGCAGTTTGTGAAAGATGTCAACTTAAAAAAAGAGTATCAAATTAGAGGTGGTTTATGATGAATGTGATTGTCTGGCGGAGTCGGGACAATAGGCTTTTCACTGTCGATGTGAAATGGCTGTGGCGTTTGGCTTCAACAAATAATTGTGCTTGATTGGAGCATTTCTCAACTTGGCCTCACCTCAACACCTGAGGAGCGTGCGAGATGTCTATTTTTTTCCCTTTGTGTGCCTCATATCACAAAACACTGCAGTTTCAATTGGAATCGGCACAGTTTACAGCAGCTATTTGTTTTTGTTTTAATGGCAGATGAAATTGACTTGACAAATGATTATATCTCCCAGAGAGGTCTCTATTTGTCTGTTTTTGAAGCAAATATTGCCATAAAATTTGGCTCTCCACTGGGAAAATGAGAAACAGTGTGCGGGCAGTGAAGCAACCCATTTCTGTCTTCCATTGAATTTCCCCCTACAAAAGAAGTAACGCCCTGCTCATCGATTGAGCCACTCATTTCCCATGTGTTAAAGTTTTTGCTGTCTGAGGGGCACAGTTTGTTTCTGCACTAGTCAACCATTTAAAAGCTGCTGCTAGCCCTTAATTACATTTCCAATAGTTCTGTAGGCTTTACATCAGCCGCCTATGCTGTTTTAATATGCCAAGCAAAACAAAAGGCAAAGTCTCCAATCAGCGGGGTAAGCCTGCCCTGTGGGACGCAGTTTCTCCGGGTCATTTAACGCTGGAGAGATTAGTGAGACAATTAGAGTTGGCCCAAATAAGACAGTAGGCCACTTTTTGGAGACGCATGGTTTTAGTAGTGGTGGAGGGGCGATTTAGATGATGCTCTAAACCAGCAGAGGGATAATATAGCTCTGCCATTAGTCAAATGTGCTCCAAAGAGCACAGGCCTTGTTCTACTGAACTTGTCCTCAGTGCCAAGGACACTCTGCTCCCCAGTACTTCATTACAGGAAATCACAGACACGATACCAAGGAGTGTGCATTTTTAAACAGCCTAATTTGTCTCTGAACTGCCATTGATGAGACGTCCTTATTAGCGCGTGGAGAATCTGCAGAAAGTAAAAAGGAATTTGTTCTGCAAATTAGAGCGAGAGAATCTGGGGACTTGCTGTGGAAAAATGCAGGTTCGGCACAACATAAGCAAAAGCTCATAGATGATATTTATGGTGTGCGCCACCCGCAAATAGCTGACGAATCCTCCCCAATGAATGGCCTATAATCACCAGTCAAAAAAAGTGACAAAAGTCACAAAGCAGCCTTTAATTAGGCGCTTTCTTTGAAAGCTCAAAGCAGCAGTTGCTTGGCTCAGGCCACACTCATTATTGCCTGTCGTCTCCTGATAATAAGACAGTTGTTACGTGTTTGGCCAAAGCTAGAAAGCTCAGAGAATTTTGTAGCTTGAGGGATTAGTATTGGGCTCTGGAGAGGGGTTCGACTCTGAGAAATGCTTGATGAATGAGGCTCTTGGCCCTAGTTGTCAGTGTCCAAACCAGAGGAATCATGTTTGTGTAGTGGTTAAGGGCACAGGAAGGAGGCAGTAGTATCAGATACAATCTTAAGTGTTTTTTTTTTTTTAATTAGAGCTTTAAGAAGTATAATTACTTAACTGGGTATTTATGTCATATAATTTATGCCAAATCTAGTTGTAATTGAACAAGGACAAAGAATAGATTCACTTTTTGAATTGTGTCTCAAGGACTTCAGGCTGAGAGGAAAACCAGGTGTAGATTTCTCCCTGGAGCTACTCTTCATTTTATCCTATTACAACCTTAGGTGATTAAACATTGGCCAAACAAGGTCCAAAATAGGCCAGAGACTCACAAGAAAGGAAGTATAATAAGAAACAGAGCCTCAGACAGTTCAGAGGTCCTCTGTGACTGTCGCTGTCTCCAGCACAACCTGCCTGGCAGGAGCCCATTTGCCATGAATCCTTCAATTTCGCATTTGTCGCTGACAGTGTTCCCCAGAGGATGCTCCTCGCTGACAGACAAAATAAACTCCTGGACTGAAATGTGATTTGATCTGAGATGGTGGGATGCCTACAAAAAAAAGTGCCAGAGGGCTCACTTACACTTTGAGAACACTACCTCTTCCTAAAGAATTGACATAACTCTTTGTCAGCTCTGGGAGAATACAGTAACTAAACGCTCCACACCCATTACCCCTAAGGTGTGTGTGTGTCTGTGACCACACACACACACACACACACACAAAACTGTAATTTATTTTTCCTGTGTTCTTGACAGTAAGCTTAACTCGGAGAGAGGCAGAATTAATTATGGCTCCTCAGCCTATCTTAATTAAATCATTTCACATCATAGATTTCACACAACAGAGGCAAAATATCTACCTCATCTTTTAGCTGGGGTGGGGCTACTGGCTGAGAATGCCTCACATCGAGATATCAAAGGTGCACTGTAAAGTTGCCTCTCCAGGATTACGATTTCACAGAAGAGTTGTCATGCCCGGCTTTTAACAGAAAGCAGCTTGTTAGCCAGCTATTGTGGAAGCTGGCGGGGGGGGGGGAAGCAGAGGGGGACAGCTTTGACTTTATCAACAGAAAAAGTTTGTTGCCCTTTTAAAGTACACAGAGCTTTCAAATTGCACAGCTGAACTCTGTACTATCCTCACCTTGGTTAGGGTAGCCTGTCTCGTTCTGTGTCTGTGGACTCAGCAGATGCTTACGTGAGCGTCTGAAGGGCTCAGTAAGTAGAGTTTTTTTCCATAAACAAAGGTGAAAGGCAAAGGAATTAGCCAACTCCCGTCAACCCCCACGTCTAACCACCCGACTTTGACAGTGTTCCCGCTCAGGCTCGCCTTGTCTCACCTCAGCTTACCCAGTATTGATCTGCCAAGATAGGTTAGAAGCAGTAGACCATAGAGAGAAAAACAAAAATATTAGCCAGACAGGAGAGAACTCAGTGCTGATGCTGTAAAGTGCAGCGCTGTTTGCTTTTGATTCCCTATGACATAGAGTAATTATTGACACAGTTAGCGATGCAGGTTTGCTTTGATGTGTCCCCTGGCTGTGGTAGCAACTCCCGCCGATTGTCGATGCCGCTTATTCCCGGACCTCGGACCTTGTAAGGATCAGTAGTTGTTTGATGTGGACGGACAGCACGCTGTGCTATCTGGGGCTGTGATCTGGAAGCTGTCAGCCAGCATCCCTGATAGCACCGTCTCATTTGTTGGCATTAGGCCTCTCTGTTTCATAGAAGCATGGGAGTTGGGTGGTTTTGCATCTCTTTGGGTCTCTTTCAGGTAATTTTGTGTCTTAATGATGTAATTTTGTGTTTCTCTGAGGTAATTTTGTGGCTTTTTTGGTTATTTTGTGTCACTTGGTTTTCATTTTATGTCTCCTTGTAGTTGTTTCGTGCCTTCTTGTGGTTGTTTTGTGTCTCTTTGTAGGCTTTTATGTCTCTTTCTGGTTGTTTTGCCCATTTTTACAGTTATTTTGTGTGACTTTGCAGTTCCTTTGCATCTCTTTGTGGTCTTTTCATGTCTCTTTGTGGTCATTTTGACACTCTAATCCTGGTCAGTACTTGTAATTTTATATTTTACATTTTGCAAGTAAAGGACAGGGCCCCCACCCCCTTGGTCCCGTGTGCCTGTGCCCGGTAGGCCCGTTAAATAATCCATCCATGCACAGAAGCTGTATAGAGGTGTGATCTGGAGTTTCACAATCCACATATCTGCTTCAGTTCAGCTTTTTTTTTGTCCTCTTGTTGCTAGATAAATGTTTAAAAAAGCCAGCCACAAATTGCACGCAAATCAATTTTCATTGTGTTGTTTTTCAGTACAGCCTTTTAGTGCGTATTTCACTCATGAATATACGTCCACACTGATGAAAGCTTCCTGTGATGGCAACTTTTTTTATTTTGCCTTGTTAGTCTCACAGTAAATCCATCCAGACTTTGTACGAGTGATTTCCTTCTTCCTCATGGCAGAACAAGAGATTAAAAAAAGACGGAAAGAAAATAAAGCTAATTTCCAGTATGCCAAGTCTCTGAAATGGAATGGAAAGAATGACTTTAGCGGGATAAACAAAACCCCATCGACA